GAAATTGAAATACCAGTACGTATATATTACAAATATTAATAAAATTGAATTGTCACTTTGATCCTATGTTATATTTACATCCAATCCACGAAATATTTGAAATTTTCAAAAAAAAAAATTTCCTTCGCATTTTATAATATGATGTATTGAACGATATCGGAGCACATTAATCGTATATTCAATTGCTCTTTTTGTAAATTTTTAATTACAAAGTATACAAAATATAAAATTATTTCTACTATGCAATACTAAGTGGCATGCATACATATACTTTTTAGATTAAATTCCTCGAATTTTAAAGTACATTACTTAAAGTACTTAAATTACATAACAAATTATTCTTTTCGTATATGAATAATAATTATAGGGCATTACGAATTTAAATGTTCGTTCATAACGCTATGACACATTGATCTAAGATGTATGTTCAAATGATATTTAAGCTATATATTCTTGTTCGATATCAAATTTTGCCTCAGTGGTAAAATATTTCTCTATTCACTAGTACAGACATAAAACACAAAAATGAATAAATTCCAAAATAATATAGATCCCTATGGTAGAATGATTTCTAATATCATTGTCTTCTATTGGAATCACCTGTTATATTGGAGTCATCTGTTCTTAGCTTTAAACATATTGTTGAAAAGATGTATTACCGACTGCATTGCATACAATAACGCAGATTATGTGATGGCACCAAATACCGTATGTCAAGTTTTTGGTGGAAACACACTTCTTTATAATGGAGAAGCGTAAATAAACTATTTTTTGGAGAGATATCGGCCTGTCGGTCAGTTTTTTTTTGTGCAGATCAATATTTCAAGTGCGACTGAACCGATTTTCATCAAAAATTAATCCTAAGCTTACTTCGAGGATTTGATCGACGACTGAATCTCTGCTACTGCGGTTGAATTTACATTTTTTATCATTTGTAAGAAAATATTCAACAGATTAACCTGAACATTTATATAAATGCTTAGTCAACTAACTAAGTTGAGAAGTCAACTATATTTTTGTGAATATAGGGTGTCAACAACTTGTGTTTTCCTACGGGCCAAATTTATATTTTTTCCATATAAGCGAAGAAATAATTGAACCAATTTTTTTTTTTTGAAATTAATTTTTTAAATTTAGGGTGTTATATATTAACATCATGGCTTGAAAATTGAACATTCAATGGGGGCCGATTTTATATTTTGTACCATTTTTAAGCAACTAATTAACGGATTTTCTTGAAATTTAATATTTGAGTTCAGTTTACTTCTGGAACTAACTGATAAACTTTTCAGGGAATTCAAAAAATTAAAATTTACGTTTTCTATTTGAAAGAAGTATTTAATTCAAGGTCATTTTCACAATTATATACCACATGTTCTCTAAAATAGACAATGCCTTGCGCTCGGTTATTTGCTGGCCACATACCACTTATTAATGTTATGGAGAGTTTCCCTATTTTTTCTTATATAGAACTTATTAAATTTTAAATGTAAAACTTACTTAGATGCATATATGAGGTAAAATTTTTTACTCTTTTATTTTTTTAAGAAATACATCGATTTAAGTATTTGTGCTTTTCTTTTAATTTCATTAAATAACTTTAAATGCTATATTCAATCTTCAATTAAAGAAAAGTCTCATTATTTGTTATTATATGTGTGTGCGTGTATATGTAGATCATCCATTATTTTAAATCCTTAAAATACGCACCTACGCTTTATTTAAATTTAGAGTTAATAAGCAAAAAAAAATATATGTACATATACATATATATATAAACGAAAACTATAAAAAATTTTTCAGACTCTTTATAATCCAATCCAATTCTTCTTCATTTACCAGAAAAATTTCCATCGAGTGTTTGTTGCTTGTTTCTTTCAAAAATGCGTATATATTTGTTAAGAATCGTAATTTTTAGTTTTGTTTTTTTCGCTCTATTATAAGGATTTTTACTACATCTAAATAAAATAATGAAATTCTAAAGAAGATTCAATAATCGTAATAAATTTTTTGAATTTTCTTTATTTTTAGAAGAATTACCAATATATTTTCATTTCCTTTTGCAATTTATTTTTATATTATACCTACAAATACTATACAAAATAATTTAAATTTGTAGTAGTGATTTAACACCTGAAAGGTATAACTATAATTGTATACGTCATTGAAATGTCATTGATATACGATAATTTTCAATTCAATGAGTGTTTTTTTTTTCCAAAATAACCTTAAATCATTCATTTTTACTTTATACAAATAAATAACTTTTTTTTGATTTTATCATCTTAAAAGAAGAGTAAATAATGTCCTTTATTGGATTAAAAATTTACGAAATATAAATTCAAGCAAACCATAAATTTGATTTGTAAGCTGCTACTTCTGCTTTGAACGAGTACAAATATTTTTTCTTTCAAAATCAATCCTTGAATTATTCTAATTTCACACATACATATGTAATATCGAAATTATTTATGCTATTAAAAATTATTGCATACTTTTCGGGGCAAAAAAAACAAAATGTAGAAAAAGCATTAATAAAATATCATCGAATTTGGAGATTAATTAGGTGAGTTAAGATAAAAGGAGGGAACGAAGTAGAAAAAACGAAATAAATTAGTTGTTCTAGAAGCTGCTACAAAATTTCAGATTCTTACAACTTATACAGCCTAACAGAAAAACAAAATCAAAAAATTTTACAAGAATAAACAAATTTGAGATAACGCTTAATTTCAACCGTCATTTCGTCGTTACAATGCTTGACTATCCTGTTTTACAGTAGAACAACAAAAACCAATATTTATCTGCCGAATTTGAAAAATGTTTACGATTTCGCTATAAAAAATTATCAAAAATTGGAAATTCAGGTATTTTAGAGAATTGCTTGCTAACCTAATAAATCTAATAATTGTATCTAATTGTTAATACAAAAAAAAATTATTTCTTTATGTAATTCAAAATTGGGGAAACGTTAATTCTAAATAATAATAAAAATATCCATAATCATTCACAATATATATAAAATTTTGGATACCTAATTGTAATTCATAAGCCCTAGTTTAATGTAAATAAATTAATATAATTAAAAGTTGCCTAAAAAGTTTTAATTATTCGTCTAACAATTCCATTTGAATTTAATTACTTAAATGAATAATTTAAGAATGAAAAATTTCGTACAATTAAATTTAGTTACAACAAAAATTTTTAATATTTATTAAATTTTACTATAAGCTTTCATAAATTGTTATACTTGTATATAATTGACCATAATCAGTTCTGTTAGTTTCACTATTATTTTTTAATAAAAACATAATGTTACAATTAAACATGCAACAAAAATGAAAAACTGGTAAGCAGTGCATATTATAGGGATTATTTTTTTTATTATAGAGATTGTTAGCTATAATGTCATTTATGAACCATTGTATACTAAAAGAATATTGCGACATGAGGTCGAAATATCTACTGTGAGGAAATTGAATAAAACGCTTATGTAAGTATTATTTTCTTAAAATAATTGTTTCTTATGTACTTGTCATTCAATACAAATTAATATTTTTTCTATATACAGTGAAAAATAAGCTAAAAAAATTAATTGTCTTAACTTTTATAACAATTTGGTTTCAGGTGACTATTAAATTTAAATATTTAATCAAATCTCAACCAGTGCATATATGTATATTCAAATATTATAAAATGTTTTAAATATTTACTAGTTATTTTTTATAGCGATTTCCTACAAAATGAAAACTAATAATGGCTACTATTTTCAAATTGTCCGTCAAAATTTCAAATTGTCCGTCTAATTACAAAACTTTTAAGTTATCGAAAGGTGAAATTACATATATATACAAAATGTTTTTTTCGATAAATCAGTTTTGCAGAAGGAAATTTCGATTTAGTTAATTCCATCCCTAAAACTTATAACACTTTAAAATCCTAAAAATGTCATTTTTTGATTTCCTGATGCAAAATTTTAGTTTTCAGTTTTTTATTGGTTTCGAAACTGTTCAATTAAAAAATATAATTATTTATATTAATCCATTTAATAGTATAGTGTAATTGGAAGAGGTAGTAGCATTTAATAATTCAATTAAAAGCAAAATGAATATAATTTTTGACAACAGGAAAATTATTTGAAAGTTTACTGCTTTACGTGATATTAAGACTATGTCATATATATGGAATGTATTTATATATATTATTAGTATAAATTATTTAACTCAAATTACAAAATATTTATATATTATTGTATTTGGGCAATAATAATTTCGGTTCAACAATATAAAATTCTTTCAGTTTAGACTTTAAAATTTTTAAATAAACTTATTTTAAATACAATATTAAAATAAATGAAATCATAAATAAATTAAAAGTTTTTTTCTATTTGTACATATATGCATATATATATATATATATAAATAAAATTAAATTAAAATAATTTAAAATAAATACCTATATACAAAAATTTTTTTTTGTTTTAACACGAATAAATAATTTACATTTATTTAATTTATATATATATATACATATGTACATTAAAAATTAAATGACAGGAAGTATGAACTGTTCAATATCGAAAGTCAATTTAGTTTCTATTTTATATTTATTGGTTTCACTCCTTAAAACCGGATTAAATTCTATATTGATTTAATTGAATAAAACTTAAATTTAAAAATTTTCTTAAAATTTAATATTTTAAATAACCTTATTATTTTATATACATTTTTGATTATAATATCATAATCAAAAAAAAACAATAAAATTTTCTGAAAATTATTAAAATTAAATATTAAATAATATTTTAGATATATATATATTTTTTATTAAATACATATGAATTAAAATAAAAAAAATTTTTAAAAAATTAATAGTGTAAAAATTCTACTATATAAATAAACATAATTAATTTAAATATAAAAGAAAAAGAAAGTGAAATTATTAAAATTAACAAAATAAAAATTGAAATACAAGAAATTATTCAAAATATTCTATAATATTTACTTACTATATACATAATTATTATATATATTTGAATATAATATATTTAAAAAAAAAAATTATGGCTGGAGGACATAATAGTCGCTTTAATGTATGCAATTCAAATATGAAATACAATTGTAAGTTATAAATAATTTTAAGCTATTTAATTATTATAAATGAATATCCAGAATATTTCTACCAATAATTTTTCGAATATAAAACGTAAAGAATATTAAATTTTTGCTTTTAATTGAATGTAAATAATTGAATGTGTTTATATTATTCGAATAAATCATATTTTAACAATTAATTTATTATTATTTATGACCAACAAGCAATATACTGTTACTTACATTGAAAAAAAAAAAATATTTACTAGAAATATTTTATAAAAAATAGCATCATGTTCTATATATAAGAATTTTAAATATTATACCTAAAATGCTTTTATATCTTCGTACTTATCAGATTAAAGTTTTTTAATCGAAAATTTTCGTATTTCAAAAAATATAAATTTTCATAAAAATATATAAAATTCAAATCGGTTCAAATATTAATTACTCTGTTTTTGGTTACATAAACAAAGCCAATTTTCTATCATCAAATTGAATTTCATATATCCCGTCAATAAATAAAAAAAAAATAATTATGAAAAAGTACAAACATTTAAAATAAATGAAATATAATATTTTTTTTACTATATAAACTCTTATTAGGATGATTAGGATAGAAAGTGATCTAAGTCCATTTTAAAGAAAAAATTAGATATTACTCCGTTTGAGTTTAAAGTAATCAAGAATTTGGTTAATTGGTTACTTGCTTCTTAAAATATTTATTTTCCTATTCAACAATATAAGTTTCAATTTCAACTATTGATATTGTCATTGCATTTTGGATATAAAAGAGTTTTGAAATTGCAAATGGACTTTAAGTCACTTTCAAAATAAACAATCCTAAACAAGAGCAATCATAATAAGAGCATAGAAAGAATAAGAGTTTATAATAAGTAAAAACGTTTCAATCGGTATAAACCGATTAAATAATAACAATTTGAGTTTAAAAACCGATTGAACTTTGACAATCTGAGTTTAAAAATTTATTTTTGAAATATTTAGAAATAACTATATTACTTGAACCTGTTAAGAAATTCCACCAAAACTTCAAAAATATATTTGACCTGAAATTGGACACACAACTGCCATGAATCTAGCCTTAATATTTTTCCAAATATTTAAAATTAACTTTCGGAGTTGTATGGCAGTTACGCGAACCAGTGGAACGGTGCCATATTAAAATTTTCAGAATATTATGTAGAACATAATTGGACACATCTTAACAAAATTAAATGTTAATACCTCTATTAGTTTTTGAAATATTTGAAAAAGTTCTTTGAGTTGTACCCAAACCCGTTCTCCAAATTGCATTCACGAAGTGCAGATTATGAAAAGAATGAAGGTTTATAGAAAAAGAAAAACAATATTGCGTTAAATGGCCATAGAGCAACTTTTTTAAACTTAAAAAATAAAGATTTTGGTTAGAGTTTAATTCATAAATATATATAAATAAATTTAATTCTACATACACACTATACGAATACACTAAAAAATTATTATTTATACCGATTTTACACAATTTAATTATTAAAAATTAAAATTGCTCATATAATTTTTTTAAATATCATTATTTGCATTAAACAAAAAAATTTCATTTAAAGTCATTTGATATTTTCGTGTATTCAGTTAACAAAATATTTATATATGTACATATATATAGAGTATATATGGAGTATATATACCTCAACGAAAAGCTTCAAGGTATACAATATTTACAATTTGTTTATTATTGTTTTTAAATAATCATATGTTGTCATTATTAAAACAATATATTAATAATATTAATATGACAATTAAAAAATAATAATAAAATTAAAATGACGAGATCGCGCATTATAATGTAAATGTGACCCATATATATCGTACATAATAGAACGTATATACATATATATAATATGAATGACTTGTATATACAAATTATATACTATTTTTATAAATTTTTATTTTACATTTTACACCAATACAATGCACTTTACAATTTAAAATGAAAATAATAAAATATAAATTTTTTTTTTCTATAAAATTAGAGTGTTTAACAATAACATAATCTTCATACTAAATTCAATAAAAATGTTTGTAAATATAATACAAAATTATATAAGTAAAAATATAAAAGTTTTGCAAATAGTTTTGCAATTTTGAAATTTGTACTTTTTTGACAATCAAATTAATTTTGCTTAATCATTGTTGAATGTTTTCAGAATTTTGCATATATTTAAAACTTCTTCACTTAAATCCGTTGCTTGTTTCCTATTGATTGCAGCTATTGATTAATCAATAGTTGTGAATATAAATTTTCTATTTTAAAAATCGGTGTAATAAATTAAATTTTAAATAAATTTTAATTTTTTTTTTTTGGGTTTTTGTAAAACGTTGCACCTATATGTTCTCAATTACATTGTCGAAATATCGAACTTATAAGCAAACGCGTAACTTCAAGTAAATTGAATTATAACACCAGTAATAAAGATTATTAATATAATTTCGTAATAAACAATAATGGCAATGCTTGAACGAATTTTTTTTTAATTTTATTTGGAATACATTTTATAAGCAATATTTAAATAATGAAACTTTTCTTTTGAATTTATCAAGTGAATAAAATAAGTTTGTCATGAACATACGAATATAAATACGAATATATCGTATTTATTTGTGTTCTCCAATTACATAATGGGTTATTGATTAAATATTAGTAATATAAATCAAAAAATTCACAATGTTTTCAATTTATTTTAAAGAAATATTAAATTGCAATAACAGTTGGAAAATAATATGCAAAATATATGTAGTATTCATGTAAAATATAGTTAAAGCCGCGAATATTTGTAGTTTAGTTAAAGTAGTAAATTTGTAGTTTATGTGTGCTTGAAAGGAAGGCGCAAGCAATGAAACATAAATATGTAAATTATATTCATATACATTTATCTATATTTAATACAATAAATATATATTTAAATCTATGAAAGAAAATAATTTATTTACTTTAAAAGTTATTTTGAAAAACTAAGAAATTTAAGACCAAATTAAAATTTGTTATGTAATATGCATATACACGTATTGGTCAAAATAATTTATAAGTACTGTACTTAATATTGTTTCATTTATAAAATAATATTATATAATTGATCAAAATGAAATATAAAAACTATATTATTAATTTTCATTTTACACTTGATTTAAATCAAAATTAAGGTTTTTTCAATTTAAAACATTAATTAAATAAAGTTGAATCAAACCAACAGTTTGTAAAGAAGAACTTTTCCCTTAAAGAAATGAAAATACTGTTTTTAAATAAATTCGATCTTCTACAATAATATTATTTCAATAAATTACTTTTATTCATGTACCAAAATATTTCCAATTTATTGCATATAATTAGGATGACCAAAAGAGAAATATTGAAAGAAGTGTTAACATAATGATTTAACTGAAATAGTTATGTAAATGAGTTAAGATAAATAATTATACTTTTTGATATTTACTGTTACCTTTTCGATTTTATAGAAATTTTGGAAGAGCGTGTTGTTTCAGAAATATAAGGCGCTGAATTTTACAAAATTGTAGAGTCGATTTTATAGGGGTTGAGCTGGAAAACATTTTCTTCTAATGAATTAAATAATTAATTAGTGTCCAAAAAAGATTTCTTAAAATTAAGATTTCTGTTTAGGAGAACAACGATATCAAAAATTTGAAACAAATGTAATTTAGGAAATGTTTTATTTTACCACCCATTTTGTATTTAATTGGGCTGTACTGGTATAAACTGGAGGCTGTAGTAAAGTTTAAAAAAATCTTTCGTGGTTTCGGTTCAATGAATAGTCAAAAATGACATTTTAATGACTTTGATTTGAAAACTTTTAGAGGTAGGGAAGATAGTAAAAATTTTCTTCTACAAGAATATTTTTTTATATATCAAAAAATTTAGAAAGCTTATAAACAGGCAAACGGACAGACGGATGGAAATAAACTAATAGATAAGCATTTTTTCCAATTTGTTTTGGATATTTTTTTTTCTGTTGAAACTATCTACATAAATAATTGATTATTTTTTTTTTTAAGTTAAATTTTTAAACAAGCGCTTATTTAATTAAATTTATTCATGCATATTATATACATATTACGCTATATAAATGTATGCAATTAAATTAAATGGAAATTTCTTAAGTCATAATTAAATTCCTTAAGTCATACTGTTTCTTATATTCTAAAATTAATGTGTTTTAAACATCAAATGTTTAAAATAATTGTATACGCGTGCGAATAAAAGTCCGTATGAATGTCTAATTAAACACATAATTATTATTCTTATATTTTGTTCTATAAAATATTTTTATATGTGGCAAAATGCACATATTAGCTACTTAGTTTAATTTATGAATTATTTATTCTACACATTGTAATAAATTTTTTTTTTTGTTTGTTTTAAATATTTTTATTCGGAGCTTAGATTTGTTTCTTTATATTTTAAATTCAAGTATGTATGCATGTTTATATGTACCTATATGCATATACATATTATGTTTAGGTTTACTTTACATTATTTATATATATATGTATATATATATTAAACATTTTAATAACCTTTCGAACTTTTATAATGACAAAAAAATTATTATAATTATGCTTAATTTACATATTATACAAAATTCATTTTAAGGTTAATATATAAATCGATGCAAAGTACTTTTTGTTTTTCTTGAATTCATCAACAGGTGTTAAGATAGCACACTTAGCACCTGTTGTGTATAGTATACATAGAGGTATATACTTAGATAATACTATAATAATCATGTTAAAGTATTTTCTATTTAATTAATCATAAGTGAAGCAATTCGGAGTTTATCTAACCAATTGTAGTTTGTAAAGTAGTCCTTTTGTTATTTGAGAAAAAAACGAACACTTTAATAATTTTTATTGAATTTATAACCAAATTTTATTGCATAAAACTTAATTTTCAATGAGGATATTCAATTTTCTGTTAACGCACTTCATTAGAAATTTAATAGACCTGGAAAGTTGCATAAATAGCTGATCGAAAGATTAAAATTCACAAAATTTTGATATTAGAAAAAATTAAATTACAAAACTATAAATAAAATTTCTGCATATTTTCTCCTGTTTTTCAATATATATAATAAACCAATAATTTTTTCGGTTAGGCAGCTAATTTGGCTCCTTATTTGAAGAGTTGCACAACTTTTGATTCTTATTTAAAAACTTTTAAGCCACAGAATTGTTTGTAAATTTTTAAAAATTAAATATTTCCGTACATTTACATAGCTGATTAAGTTTGCATATATAGCGAAAGGTTAAAGATAAATTTTTTTTTATGTTAAGGTGCTACACAACCTCCAAATATAGATAACCCAACTTATTTAGACGCCTATCGTCGATCAATTGAAACACCAGAAGATTTTTGGGGTGAAGTTGGACAATCACTTGATTGGTATAAAACATGGGAAAAAGTTTTAGATAACTCAATGGAACCATTTACAAAATGGTATGTTGGCGGCTATCTAAATGCTTGTTATAATACAATAGATAGGCATATTTTAAATGGCAAAGGAGACAAAGTAGCTTTAATTCATGATAGTCCATTGACAAATACTATAAGACACGTTACTTATAATGAACTTTATGAAACTGTAAGTATAACAAAATTTTCTATTAAGTAAATTATTATTTTTTTTTAATATTCTATTATTTTCTCTTAAGACTTCACGGTTAGCTGGTGGCTTAAGGCAACTTGGTGTTGAAAAAGGTGATCGCGTTATAATTTATATGCCTTTAATACCGGAAGCAGTTATGGCAGTACTAGCAACAGCACGTCTTGGTGGAATTCATTCTGTTGTTTTTGGAGGTGCATATACATATACATACATATACATATGTATATGGACGTTGATTATTTACATGTTTTAAAGCATAAATAGTTTTGTTTAATTTTTTATTAATAATTCAAAGGTTTTGCTGCTAGTGAACTATGTACACGTATTGAACATGCCAAACCGAAAGTTGTAATTGCTGCCACTTGTGGTGTAGAACCAAATAAAGTTGTCAAATACTTAGATATGTTGCATAGTGCTATTGCAATGTCTACATGGAAACCAGTATGTAGAGTTATTTTTGAACGGAACAATGTTTTAAGTGTAAGCTTAGATTGTAAAAAAGACGTTTCATGGAATACCGTATTGCAATTAGGAAGTTTAGCAGAGAGATGTGAATGTGTTCCAGTTGAAGCAAATGATCCGTTATACATTTTGTATACATCTGGTACGACTGACAAACCTAAAGGTAAAATTTTATATTATTAAGAAACATACATTTTTAAAAATGTAATATAAAGGTGTTCAGAGACCAATTGGCGGTCATCTTGCTGTATTATCTTATTCTATGAAAATGATTTATGGTATTACAAGTAATGATGTGTGGTGGACAGCCTCAGATTTGGGATGGGTAGTTGGTCTTTCATATATTTGTTATGCACCTTTACTTATTGGAGCAACATCTGTAATGTATGAAGGAAAACCAGACAGAACACCAGATCCAGGACAATATTTTAGAATAATTGATCAACATAAGGTTTCAGCTGCATTTTCAGTACCAACAGCTTTTCGTGTAAGTCATGTCCTCAATTTAAATTATCCCAATGCACATGCATACATTATACATACTTTAAGTTAATTTATTCCTGCCAAATATTTACGAAAACATTTTTCCTTTCCCGATTTTTTCATTAGGTTATAAGGCGAGTAGACCCAGAAGTTAAATATGGCAAAAAATATTGTTTAGATTCATTGCGAACGATTTTTATTGCGGGTGAACAATGCGATATTGAAACGAAAAATTGGATTGAAAGAACATTTAAAGTTCCTGCTTTAAATAATTGGTGGCAAACGGAAACTGGCTCTGCAATAACAGCGAGTTGCGTTGGTTTTGGACATAGCATGTATCCACCAAAATACACAACCGGCTTACCTTTTATGGGATATCAAAGTAATACAAACAAATGCATACATATATAAAGATATGGAACATAATAATAAACAAATAGCTATATATATTTAGGTTTAAATAGAAATTTTGCTTTGAAAACAAGTGTAAATGCAAACATATAATTAGTATGTTCATTATTACGTTTCAGTTGAAGTTTTCAATCAAGATGGTATGCAAACTGAATCTGCAGAATTAGGAAGAATTGTTATTAAATTACCATTACCACCTGGTAACATGTCAACACTTTATAAAAACGATGAACTTTTCAAGCAAATTTATTTCCAAAAGTTTCCTGTAAGTGCATAAGTACATACATACATAACTTCAAATAAATGTAGAAATTGTAGCAATGCTTATGTTCATACATACATGTTTACACAACCAATAACCTAGTTTTTTAATTATTAAGGGTTACTATGATACCATGGATGCTGGATATAAGGACCAAAATGGTTATGTTTACATTGTTGCTAGAGATGATGATGTGATTAATGTAGCTGGACATAGAATTGCAACTTCAAGCTTGGAAGATGCAGTTTTGCGTCATCATGATATCGCAGATGCGGCAGTATTTGGGGTACCTGAACCTACGAAAGGTCAGGTTCCCTTATGTTTATTTGTTGTTAAAGAAGGTTACATTAAATCATATTCTAAAGTAGAAGTTCGTACAAATTTTCTAACTTTAATTATTTATGTGTTTAGGAACAAAAAAAGAAGCTACAAAAATTTCATCAGAAATCATCAAAATAATACGTGATGTAATTGGGCCAATCGCATCTTTTCGTTTGGCTGCTAAAGTTGAAGGTTTACCCAGAACTAGATCAGGTAAAACAATGCGCAAAGCCATGGCCGATTTCGCCAAAAATGAAGAAGTTACTTTGCCAGCTACAATAGAAGACCCTACCGTATTTTCAGATGTATGTATGTTTTGATTTGCTGCTTATAATTTGTTAAATTTTAGCATATAAGTATACATGTATAGGTTTATTAGTCAATTTAATTACCAAACCTACGATTGAAGAAGCCAAATTTACAATGTTCTTATTACCTTTAATGACTTTTTTTTTTAATTTCTATTTAATTAAATTTGATTTAATTTGCAGATAAGAAGAGCTCTTCAAGAATTAGGGTATGCTATGACGGCTCCAAATCCAATATTAGCTGAATGATTTACTTATAATTCTGCACTTTTATTTTTTAGATTAAATTTTAAGAAATTATATTTAAATTATTTTAGTATTCAGATGAAATAGAAATAAACATGTTACTATTATTTACCAAAATATGTGTACATATATAAATTTTATCATAATTTAAATTCAAGTGCAATTAAGAAAGGCAAATCAAATACATTCTTTGAATTAAACGATGATGCACCTTCTACAGTTTTTGATAAAAAGAAGTCTTGAGCTTGGAATAAAGTCAAACCGTCTTGAGTTTTTTCAAAACTATAAATTTGACAATTTACTTATAAGTGAAAAAAAATTTATTGCCTCCGAGAAGAACCACACTCCTATTTAGCGATAAATTGTATATATTCTAATTGGAGTTCTAAAAGTATGAACCAAACACACAATTAATTATCCATCTATAAGATGGCAATTATCTGGCTTCTATCTTTCAATTTTTTGGTTAAATATTGAATTTTTAAAGGATCAATGTGAAAAAAATATTAGTTTTTAATTATGAAAAATTTTTATATTTATTTAAAAATTTTAAATTAATCAATTCATTTCAATAATATTTCATTTCCCTTTTTTACTCTTTTTACGAGGCTCTTCATTTTCTCCTGTTTGCATTGCTACTAGTTTTGACATTTTCTTCCTCTTGGTGACATCTTGTTTTTGAGTTTTTTCTGTGGATACATTTGCTTCAATTGGTAATTCCCCTTCGGGCATTACACTATCTATTGGGACGGTACTGAAACCTTCAATGTATGGTTTAACTAATTGAAAAACTAATTTTTCGTGTTGAACATTTGACGAATCTAAACTCAACCTAACAGTAACTGGATCGAAGGAGTGGAAAGTAACATTTCCACATGTTTGCGTGTGTTCCTTAAATTGCAAATATTAAAAAATGTACACGTATAACTAGAAACTATTCTAATTCATGTGTAAGAACTAGAGAAAAAAATAAATTCGTGTTCAATTTAACTAAGCACTTACTTCTTCATTATAAACAAACAAAGCCTTCACTTCGTTTAAAGATCCCTTTTCTTGACTTGGTTTATTTAAATAAATCGTTCCTTCCAACCCAAATTTCGGTATAAGAATTTGTAAAGCATTTTTACGTACAAATAAAACATACCTAAATTGATAAAAAGAGTATAATAAAATGATAATTAATAGCGACAAATTGAAAATTAAATCAAAAAATTTTACTCACCCTTCCTCTTCCTGTGTTTTTCCACGAAAGAAGAGATGTGTATTTAAGGCAACAGAAGCACGACCTGCATATTGTGCCATACGATGTCTATAATTCAAATTTTGACACAAGTTCGCATTTTGTTTTTTATCTAATAATTCTGCATATGTGCTATCAGCTCCGATTGATGCTGCCAACAAACGGTGCACAATTATATCAGCATATCTTCTAATTGGAGATGTAAAGTGTGTATATATTGGAGTAGCTAAGCCATAATGGAAAAATTCTTCTCTTTGAATCGTACCACTTATAAAATATAGCGCTTGCATCATACATCGTGTTGCCAGAATTCTCAACATTGTGTTGAAATAGGGGTTATCTTCTTTTACGGCCAAGTCTAAGGAATTTGCTAAAGCTTTACCAGATTCCGTATGAATTTCAAATCCTTGATTACGTCCTGCTTTAATAAGTGGATCAAAATTACTTTGAGATGGACGTGGATGACGTCTTAGCATAGCACACTCCGGAAATTCTCTTTCTATATGTTCCGCCACCGTTACATTTGCTAGTAACATAAATTCTTCTACCATAGAATTTGTTTCCCGTATCTGTTTTGCTTCCACATCAATTGGATCATGTGTTTCACTGTCTACTTGAAATCGAATTTCCGGCGATGCAAGTACTAAAGCACTGTTGATCAAAACATTTGGTGAATACAGAAAGATAATTAAATATTTATTTTGTTGATTTATTACCCGTTATCTAGTCTCTTCTTTTTCAGTATTTTTGCCAACTTGTTAAGATTACGCAAAGATTTGGCAATGTCGTCATTTTGATTTTTATCATCTATAATTATTTGGGCTTGCTCATATGTCATTGCTGCCTTAGATTTAATGACACTTTTATGATATCTTTTTGATATGATATTTGCATCGCCATCTATTTCCCAAATACAGGAAAATGCAAAACGTTCAACATTTCCGCGTAAGGAACAAAGATTTGAACTAAGTAAATCCGGAACCATATCTATCCTTTTGCCCACCAAATAAACAGTTGTACCTCGTAGAGCTGCTTCTCGGTCCAAAGCGTTACCTGGTCTAATAAAGTGGCTTACGTCGGCTATATGAACTCCAACTTCATAAAGATTTGGTGAAATTTCACGACAATGTAATGCATCATCAATATCAGTACATCCAGGTGGATCAACAGAACATATATAAAGGTCACGTAAGTCAACACGTTTTGCATAATCCTAAAATTATCCGAAATACAGAATTAAATATAATACTTTAAAAAGTTCTTTAGGATATGAAAAAAATTTGTTTTTTAATAAATTTCTGGGAAGCAAAAGTAAGATAAAGTACGGTGAATAAGATCATATTTCAACTTAATTAATAGCAATTGGGTTTGAAGTTGAATTAAGATTCATAATGTTTTTCTGGGAAAATATATTAGTTTTTCCAATGTGAAAAACCCGAACAACTTAAATTTAATTCTTAAAATTTCTAAGTTTTTATTAAATTTCTTTTATCTTACTTCTTCGGTTATAGTCCACGGTAACTGAGGTAAAAAACTTAAAACTTCATCCGAAAATTTACTATGTGGTACATCATGTTCTAAAAGTACGACCTCATTTTCAGTTTCAATGTCGCCTAATGGACCTAATGATCTGACAAAGTGCCCATGCGGGTATCGTGAGTGTCGTGGCCAAGAGTCTACAGCTACTATTATTCTTTGCATTAGCAAGTTGTGAGCTTGCCGTGTCTCAACGCGCACTTTAGGAATTTTCCTGTCAGCTGGTACAAAAATATGTTTTGTTGAACCTTCGATTGGATTGCTCTGAAGAATTCCACAATATTGCCTCCACTTTCGACGAATAATACCAACTATACGACCTGTAGGTGATTTTTCAATTGCGATTTTTTTGGAAGGCGAATCAATAATATTTTCTTCTTCCTCTAAAATATCGCCAGGATCGTTTTCATCTTCCTGAAGTACAATTTCACTTGGTGCAGACCACTCGTCTTCGGGTAATATTTCAATAGCAACTGTGTCACCATCAATAGCGCGATTCAAATTTTCTCTGCCTTGTATGAGCACCTTATATTTAAAAAAAGATTAATTGAAAAATTTTCAATTAAGTACGTTTCTGATTAAAAAATAATTGATATAAAAATTTTACCGGCTTTTCAAATTTTTCAACCATTACATGTCCTTCTAGATAATTTTCTCTGGAAGCCATAAAAGCTCCTTGTAAAAATTTTGAATTTTTTATACCATTGTGGATTTGCATAACAGTCAAATGAGGTGGAAAAAGCGATTTCTTACTGCTCTCAAATTCATAATTTTTTTTTGATATTTTATCCAGGAGATTTGGATGTTCTGTCAGCGATTGCACATACTCCTCGACGGAAGCAACTAAAATACCTTCTTCTACAGCTTTTCGACGATTATCAGCGTCATCAGTTAAGAGAACAACTCTGGTTACTTTTTTAGTTTCTTCATGACTTTGGCATTCTTTTAAGTGATTATCATACCACTTAGTAGCAATTCTAATAGCTCTATCATTTCGGTCATTAGTAGTTTCACCTTTCTTTCTTTCAACATACGTATCTCTACGTTAAAAAAAGACATTAAAGTTATACAAGTTTATATGTAAATATATGCATTTGAAAACTTACTTGTGGTGTTCATTTACAAACACATAAAAATTTCTAGAGTCGAAATTAATAATGTCACGAAACCGTTTGTATATAGCACTGCTTTTATTCTTCACTTCATCTAAAACAGTTGTCAGGATAATTACATTGCAGATGATATTTTCTTCAAAAACATCAATTTGATCAATAACTACGTTAGTGTCCAAAACCAAATAATGCGGAAATGGAAATAATGTACTTTGGATGTTTGGATCCTTTGATAACTTTCTTTCACTTGCTAGTTCGAAACAAATTTTGCATAACTTCGAACCGCAACTCAAGTCGTCACGCAAATAATGCTCTCGAACTACCTTTAATTTCGATTGATTAGTTTTTTGTTTAAATAGTAATTATACCTATCATGCCTTCAATATGCTGCCGCGTTTTGTTTTCCGGAGAAATTGTCGGGTAGTTTGATGACTTGTGTGCATTTTAATTTTTTACAAATAAATTAAAACAAAAATGTATGGTATTTTTTCCACAATAACATTTGATCCGGCTTTTTAATTGAATAGGAACTGTTGACTTTGATTATGCAGAAACGTGTGCATTGTGCTGGGCTAATCTGCAAAATGTCAAAAATAAAAAAACGCTTAGTGCAAAATGTAGTAGATTATTAAAATCAAGTGATTTGAAAGAGGTTGAATGAAAGATGATAAAGATGGGTTTACATATACGATAAAATCTTAGATTTAATCTACGATAAAACATATGATTATATTTACATAACGACGACTTTAGGTTAAAATAATTTGCTACGAAAATTGTAACCAAAATAAAAATAAATTTATCGCTGTTTAAAAGTTTCACAAAAAAGTAATTATCGGCATTTTACATTTAAAAAATCTGACAGTAAATCTGATATGATTTTCATTATACTCCAATTTAGTTGTAGATCAATTTCCGGTTAAAAATGATTCATTGGAAAATCGACTCGGTTGAATTAAAAAAAATAATTTTTGACTGAAAGCTGAAGCGAATATACTCAGATACATATGTGCAAATATTTGAAAAGTTTAACAAGTTTTGTTTAATAAAAAAAAATGAGATAAGTCAGATTTTCAGAATAAGTAGAAAACGATATTTTTGTACAACGTTTTTGGTTGGATAAACAGCACTTTCTTTATTGTATAAAAATGTTATTGTCCGGATTGAATGGAAATCTACCTTTAATATTTGATTTTTATCTCGTTCTTTTTACATCATGGCCTTGTAATATAATTTTAAGATTTTTTTATATAATATGGCATTGTTCCAAATAGAATTTTGCAGACATATTTTGACAATTAATATGTCATGTTTTAAATTTTTCTAGTGTCGCTGTTGTCAGAAAATATGAAGTATTGCCAGAAAAAATGAGTTCGGTTCGGTGAAGGAAAATTGATTTAATTTTTGTATCGAAAAAATACCCATTTTTATTATATTCTTGTTATAAATAATTAACTAATTATTTTAAAATATATTAAAAATAAATTTTTGTGCATAATTAATGTTAACAAGTAGTTCATTCATCAATGTAAAAAGTTTAAATCACATAGACTCTGAGGTAATTATATTTAGCATATCCAATGGGTTTTTAAGAAACCTCAGAATTTAGATTACAGAAACATATAATAGTTAAAAAACATAATAGAATAAAAAAACATAATTTAAATATAAATGAAAAACAATACTGTTCATTGATGATCTAATACTGGGCATTTTGAATTTGTTCAAAATTCATTTTTAAAATTGTTAACTAAAAGTAGGGGCTGCTGAACGAAACGAATAATAAAAAAGTCATTTTAAATTACAATCAATCTTTTTATTCTTAAAAAAAAAAACGTAGCCATAGTGAAATCATTTTAAAAAGTAATTAAAAAGTAAGTTTATAAAGAAAGTTTACTATTAGAAATTTTAAAAAAATAGAAATTTGAAAAATTCTGTCCCTTTATCTACTTAATTGAATTACATTTTTAAGGTTAATCAAAAGAGAAGAAAGAATAAATAATTAAAATTGCTTCGTTTGGTTAATTTTTGTTCACTTTATTGTATGTAACTTGAAGTATACAATAAATTATAAAAACAAAATAATAAAACATTATATTTTTCATACTTCCATACTTATATATGTACATATTTAGAATTTTTTCGCTTATGTGATCTTGTGACTATCAGAAAATTTAATAAATCTTATTTTAGAATTAAGGTTGGTAGGTAAGTGTGCATATTTACACTAACGTTTTATAAATCTCCTGTAAACAAACAAAATGTGATAATAAATTAACCAAAAATATAATTAATTTAGCCACTAATCTTTTGAGTTAAAAATTTTAATTATTTAGTAGTTTTTTTATAATTTCATTGATAATGATAATACAAAAAGAATTGCAAAGTATTTTCTACTACAATAGTGGGGAGAAAAATATTTTCTTTTTGTTTTTTTCTTTTTGTACATACATATCTGTACTTATATTATGAAAGATATCATACATATATTATATTCAATGTTGTAAAGGTCAAATGTTTCTTGTATAAAGTCAATGGATGCAATTGAAGCTTCGTAATTCATTGAAATTAATTGAATATACTTATTTGCTTCTCCTATGCGGCACTTATTATTATCAGTGATTCAATTTTTTTTGTTTTACTTTAACTAGTGACGGTGGTTCTTATTTTGCAATACATTATGTTGTTGTTATTTAAAGATTTGATAAGAATTTAGTTATCTAAATATATATGTCTATAATTACTTATATAGTATATAAATTTCAATATTATGATAAGTATTTTGCATAAATATGCTCTATAATCAACGAAATAAAAGATTCTGTTAGAATAAAGAATATTATTTGTTTGAGAATAAAAGAATTTAACTTATTAGTACCACCGATATTATAAAGTTGTTATTTATTTATTTAGAGATTTATTTATTATTTTAGATTTATTTATTAATTTAGAATTGTTATTTATTTATTCAATGCTCTATTCAATCTATAGTTCATGATTTACCAGAAATCAAAATTTTAAATTTGAAATATATTCTGGATAGGATGCCAGGTGTCGTATGTCCATTTATTTCAGTAAAATTTGGCTTATCCTTTATTTTTTTTTTTTTTTTTTTTTTTTTCCTTTGTTCACTCCTAGAAGGAGCATAGGGCTAGTGCATGATTTCTCACGCACTAGTTTCATAGCGTCATAAGGTTTAACTAGGTAGGTGACTAGCCTGCCGGCTTATCCTTTATAGTTTCATTATAATATAATTTGATAAACTTACCTATTTATAAGTATTTACCAATGTACCTATCAAATTATAAGTACTCCTCTTAGAACCTTAGAAAGAGCGTATAACCATAATCGCTCCCCAATTCAAATAAAGATATGGTAACATTAGAATTGTTTTAAATAAGTTTTATACCCTCAGTTGCAATAAATTGCCTATATAATTCCTAAGTATATAAATTTAAATTTGTTTTAAACTAAGAAAAAACTAGGGGAGAAATTTAAACACAACCCCTTTTTTCTAGTTAGAGTCCAAAATATTCTAATAATTTTATGAAACCAAGATAACAAATTATACCTGGCTATAGCTACGTAGTAATACATGTAAGTTTTAAATTTTAATTGAAATAAATAAATTTATAATTTTAATTGTAGCAAGTTATATATTATTGATTCAATTCAAATTTCAATATTATGTAGGCATAGAAGGTAGGTAGCCTACTTATATATATAATTTATTATTAAGTATATGACAAAACTAAACAAATTTTTAATATTTTAGAAATTTGAATACCTACTTACATATGTATATTAAATTTATCGTATACTAAATATTATTTTCAATATCAGATATTTTATTTTTCAGATTGCGAAAAAACCCAAGTATCAGTTGAATATTATAATTACTTGTAAAAACACTAATTTCAAGACATTGTTGTTCAACGACAATAAGATGTAAGATTACTATTTCCTGCACCTCAAATGGAAACAATCACAAAATAAAATTAAAATACGATACCAGCAAAAAAATTTAAATCTGAAAAAAAGAGAAAAAAAAGAAGAAATATTGATAAAATTATTTATTTTTTTTTTGTTTTACTAATGTTCTTTTATAAAAAGAAAATCTGCATGTGACGTGAATATTCAAAATTTTAAGATTGGTCGCTAACTGCAGTTTTAATTTTTTATTGTTTTTGTAACGTTGTGTTTTCATTATTGAAAGATATAAGATACAAGTCATGTTCAATTTAAATGTTTATTTAAAATTTATTTCAAATTTAAATTTAATTAGTTAGATGTTTGTTATAAGTAATATTTATTGATTTTTTTGAAATTGTATTAATTAACGAGCAAATTAAGTAGAAGCTTGAAAATAAGATTTAACAAAAAGATATTTGAGAACTTATACGCTGAAAATTAAGAAAACAGAAAATTTTGTATATTTTCAAGATGACGGTCGATTTTAATGATTATTTTTGGGTGAGTATACAAAACGAATATTTTTTTTATTGCACAAATTTTAAAATAAAATTTTAAAATCAATGTACCCATTTTTCTTGATACAAACTGCAACTTTAGTTAAATTGCACTAACATGGTTTTTAAACCAATTGAAACTTTAAAACAGTTGTTAGGTAAATAATATATACATATATTCCCTATAGTTTTTATTTCATGCAGTAGTATTATTACTTTGTCAATATGTTTATATGCTTTCCATAATATTGTTATGTATGCATGTTCTATTTGATAGAAACCTTTGCTTATATTCTTTAATAGGAACCTACAAACGGTACATGATTTTAATATAGTAGGATCGTTTTATGAATGTTTGGAAGGATGGTAATTCATTTTAAATTTCTTTAAATTTTTATATTATTTTAAAAATATTGAATATTAGAAATTGAAAAGAATTGAATTACAATGTAAGGAGTGAACTGTAAAATTCTATAACTTTTTTGGTAAAAGGTTAGATAAGAGTAGTTAAAAAATTATCATTTAACACTTTTTTAAAATAATAAAAAGAATCAAATACTTCACTAGATAAAATTATAAAATAATGATAAATTTGCAATTCAACTGTAAATTTTTAAGTATATAAGTTATGGGCGTATATTTATTTGAATTTTAGTTCCGATTTTTCAACACACATCAATTGTTAGTGTTAATTGTTTAATACAACTAACAATACATGAGAACACATTAATTATTTTCAACTTATTTAAATAAAACAAGTGAAATATGGTACATCTAATATTTATTTTAATTTTCATTAAGTTAATTAATTTTTTAAATAATCAAACTAATAAGATTTCATCAATTGTTTTAGGGAGAAAAAAACAATGGCTATGATGTTCTTTATCACAATATGAAATTTGGATTTGTTGCTAGCAAAGAATTATCAGATTTTTTTCGAGAGAAAACCAATGTTGAGGAACAAAATTCTAAATTGATGACAAAATTAGCCCATAAAGCTGGTTCTGGTACTCTAAATGGAACGTTTGCCCCAATATGGGGTATATTAAAGAGTTCAGCAGAACGTTTATCGAATTTGCATTTACAAATGGTACAAAAACTAAGTGAATTAGTTAAAGATATAAGTAAATATGCTGATGAATTACATAAAAAACATAAATTAGTCAAAGATGAAGAATCAAGTACATTAGAAGCTGTTCAAGCAATGCAATCATCTACACAGGCTGTTCAAAAATCAAAAGATTTATATACAAATAAAATGCAAGAATTGGAAAAATTACGAAAAGAAAATGGTACTTCGAAAGATATTGAAAAAGTTGAAACAAAATTGAAAAAATTACAAGATGATTATAAAAATTTGATGGATAAACATGCACCTATTAAGCTAGAATTTGAAAACAAAATGACTGCAACGTGTAGAGTGAGTATTATTTTTTTACATATGCAATTTGAAAGTTAAATAATAATATTTTAATATAAGTACAATTTTTAATTAATAATATAATTATAATCGGGTTTATTAATTATTTTGTAATTAATGTAATGCAAGTTTTAAATTATATTTCGATTTGATTTTGTGATTCAACTTAAGGGGAATGAATCATGAAATGCTTACATAAAAAAATATTTGCAAGTGTTTTGCATTGTTTAACTATAGAAATTTAGAATTAAAACATTTCTTTTGGAAAATATTTTTCTATTTAAAGAGTTTTGAATGTCTTTAAAGTCGATAATTTATGAAATAGATTAAATAAACTGTCCAGAAATTTAAATCCAAAACATGATCCAATCGAAATAGCTATTTTAGAACTTCAGTTCTTCTTAGAATTATAAAAATTTATTATACCATATAAAGGAGAAAATTTAAAATAAATTATATCTCAGACATACATAATTCATTATAAAATATACTTAACAAATAAAAATTACGTTAACATTTTAGAGATTCCAAGAAATCGAAGAAGCACATTTACGGCAAATGAGAGAGTTTTTATCAACATATTTAGAACTTGTACAAACCAACCACGATATGGTTGGACAGGTGAGATTTGATACATAATGAATGTTTTGAAGGATTACTATTTGCTTTTATTTTATTTTTAGGTTCATAGTGAATTCAAGAGACAGTTTCTTGATATGAGTGTTGATAAATTGTTGGAACAATTTGTGTTAAATAAATATACTGGTCTAGAAAAACCAGGTAAGCAGTTAGTTTGTTTTATTAATAGAAAGAAAAAAGTATTAAAAAAAATTTTAAAATTTATAATTTGCTTTATACTGTGTGCCTATGCATTTTTTTCATAAAATTATAAGGCATAAAATTATCGAAGACATAAAATTAATAAAAAACTAGAGTGCCGATATTATTTCTAGCTGTATAATATTAATGTTTTTGCTCGTTTAATGTTTTAGAAAAAATTTGCTTGTTAGGATAAGAAATTTTTGTTTGCCATAATAGAATTCTTAATAAAAATGCAAGGCATGGTACATACAAATTCTTTTAAAAAAATATAAAAAATGCTAGAGATAGTTTTTAATTTTAATTTTACTAAATATTATATGTTTTAATTTTGAATAACATATACGTTTTATTACTTATACTTTTTTCTTTTGATTTTGTGTGTATATTTTTTGGTTTGAAATAAAAAATAAATAACACAACAAAAAACCTAACACAAACAACTGTGAATAAATAAATGTTAAAATCAATGGACCAAAAACAACATAAATACAACAACAAAAAAATATACATATGTGTATATATATATATATATATACATATAATACAAACATGTATATATATTAATCAGAAATCACTGAACTTGAATTAATAAACTTGTCATCGGCGCCATCATCAAGCACAACTCCAGTAGTTTCATCTTTGCATTCTTCAAATCAAACACATAGCAATACATCTTTTGTAAATCAGTTAAGTCAAGTGAATCAATTGCATCATCAACAACAATCACATCAATCAGTACATTCCACTGGTGCAGCTGGTTCTGTATCAGGAGCGACAAATGCCTTAGTAAGTCCAGTGCCATCAGTAACATCTCAACAAAAGGTTTTAGGTACAAGTGGGGGCGGCGGTCCTGGTAGTAGAGGTGTATCACCTGAACCAAACTCAGTAACAAGCACAGTAAGAGCAAATTTAAGAAACTGGTTTTCATCAAATATTCCATCTAAACATTCCGAAAAACCAAACGCTGCGATAACTAATACAAATTTAAATCAAGACAATACAACTTCAAATGTAAGCGGTAATGGAGCATTCAATTCAGAAGGTAACCCAAATCAGCTTCAGCAGCAGCATACAAATCAACAACAAAACCAGGACACAATACAAAGTTCGTATATTTCACCAGCTTTAAGTCAATTGTCTGAACATAATATTTCATTTTCATCAACAAATACTGTCCCAAGTATGTTTTTCTTTTTAAAAACAACATTGTTTCTTTGCTATTTCCTATTTTCAGTTTAAATATAATTTTTTTTTTTTAATATACATTTTTAAAAATTTTAATTATTTCATTTTGTTTGCGTATTGCCACCTGTCTATTTCCATAAAGTAATTTCATAGTGTTTAAGCATTATATTATGTCATTTCATTAATTACTTTATTATTCGTTTGTCTCTGGATATAGTATATTATTTTTTGCAATATAGTTTTTTAATTTAACTATTATTAGAAATACAGAATTATAAGCAATACTGAATATATAACCACTATTGCAGCTGTTTTTGTTCTAAAATGGATTATTATAATTACCATTTTATTTAAAAAAATCGCAGTTATATTAATTATATGACAAATAAATACATATATTTACAAGTTGACGTATCTAAAATATTTTGTGACTGAAAGTTAATACTATTTAAAGTTAATATACTTTTATAAGATCAGTTTTTTCCACAATAAAAAAATAAATTACTTCCGAACGATATGAATTTGTTTCCAATTATGTTTGTATGACAAAGTATAAAAATTTCAAATTGATAACCACGAATCATTTAAATTTTTGGATTAATTTTTTATGATTACTATTGGTATAGTTTTATAGTTGCATAATTTTTCGGAAAATTAACACTAAATGATTGTTACAAAACATAAATACATTTTTGATCTGTGGTTTATTTGAAAATTTGAAAATACACATGTATTTTAAAGTATTTTAATATAAAAATAGGTATTTAAATATTTTTGGATATATTTTTTTTTTTTAATTTTAATTCTGAAAATTTCTAATATTAGTAAATCAACTACCTAAAACCAAAGTTATACAAAATCAATGTAAATTTTACATTATATTAGTTTTTTTTTTTGCAATTTAGTGTTAAATATTTTGAAATATCCCAATTAACATTTTTTAATTTAAAAAATAATTGGTACTTAATTTACTTTCACACGAAAATTAAAAGCAAAGAAAAATAAAAGATTTTTTTTAAAGATTTTTTTTTTCCGAATTTGAAAAGTATAAATTTTTCAAAGTTTTTAAAAAATATGAAAATACAAATATGTATCAATATTTAAAAAAAAAATATAAATTTAGAAAAAGGTCAACAACAAAATGAACAGCAACAGCAAACATCAAAAGTTTCATCGCAACTTCATCAACAACATCAACAACAACAACAATCTACCCAACATCAGCAACAAACGTCGTCGCCACAAGTACAGCAACCAATACAACAAACAAAATCTTCCCGCCGTACTACTTCCCTTCTAAATCTCTTCATGTCTAATTCCCAGGGTAATTGCAATAATGAAAAAAAAAAAAAAACAATTTTTTTAAAAAAAACACAAAAAGAAAAAAAGCAAATCTTCAAATTTTTCACAAAATTATTTTTTTTATTTTGCTTTGCAAAAGGAAAAAAATATTTTTCAAAATCTTTAATTTTCTGCTGTTCTATTCATCACTTATAATAGTCAAAAAAAAAAAATAAAAGACAATAATAGTTTACTATGAAAAATATTTTGAATGTTAACAAAGTTGCTTTTGTTGGCGTGCCGCTGCAAAATAATAAAATGCGCTGCTCTTGTTTTCTTAAAAAATTTTTAAAAATCAGATTGCAAACATACTTTCGTTGACACATTTTTTTTTTCATTTTCAATTAATTAAATAATTTTTTTCTTTTGATTTTGAAGATACTACTTTCATTATACGTTTTTATAAAAAAGAAATTCATTTTTTATGTTAATGTTCAAAATATTTTTAAACTATTTTAAAATAACTTACTTTTTTCCTGTATTTTCATTAACTTCTTAATTTTTAATTCCTTACTTACTTATAATTATGCTTATTTTTTTTTGTAACTTCCCCATTTTAACATTTCTAATTATTAATTCTTGTTTTAATTGCGCTCCATACGTTTAAGTTTAAGTTTAATTCACTTTTTTCTTAATTTTGTTTATTGTTTTAATTTTATTTTAATTTAGGATATTTGTCAAATAGAATTAATTTGAATTTTTGAGTTTATATAAAGTTTTTATAAAGTTTAAAACATTGACTAGATAAAAAAATGTTATAAGAAATACCGTGTTTTTTCCCTTTTCAATAATAATTAATTTTAAATTATTTAATTAAATTCAATTAACTATTGTTTATTTCAAATTTTACAAATATCCTCTTAATGTATTTTTTATTTTATTACATAAATTATTATAAATGCCTTTTTAAACAAATATTACATTTGCGCTTTTTGCTTTTCAACAGCAAAATAACTAACTCTGATTCAATAGAGACACAAAACAATAACTTGTGTTTATACCCCGTAATTTGCACTTTTTAATAATATTGTATCAAAAACTAGAAAAAAAAAATTAATCAAATCAACGAAATTATTTTTAATGTTATATTAAAATTTAATTTATATGTTATTTCTAATAATGAGTTATATTAGTATTACAAACAAAATGAAAAATTAAAAAGAAAGTAAAAGTTTTACTATAAATATAATATTATATAATATAGTTGAAATTGCACGAGCATTTTTATAAAACCCATCAAGTTAAAATTCAATTCAAAAGCATATAATAATTCAATACATTTTTTGTTTCATTATTCGCACAATTTAAATGAATGTCCAACCGGCAAGATCACGCTTTTAAGTGAAAAAACTTTTATTTATTCTGTTTTTTTTTTCCATCATAACTTTGTATCAGTTTGCTTCCAATTAACTTGAAAGTTTTCCATGACACCTAAATATTTTTTTAAACTTTTTCTTATATGATTTTGTTAGAGAAAGGCTTAATATCAAATAAAATGTTTGTTCTTTGCAAGAAAAAATGTTTTTTTTTTTTGTAGTAAAACAATTATTATTATTAGAATTATGTAAGTTAGTTACTATGTACCATCGTATTTTACTTTCGAAAATTCTGTTTCATAAAAGATATATTTTATAAATTTTATGTCTTTTATTTAAATTTTCAGATCTCTTGAGGAAATTAAAATTATAACCTATTTATTTCAAAAAAATTGTTAATTAAATGTAAAATTATTAATTTAGATAAAGAAAAAAATTCAATAATTTGCAAAAACTTGCTATTTAGTAAATTACAAAATATAATTTTCATTTAGCAATGTTAAATATGGTCTTAAAAGTTTGTTATACATATTTTCTTATTAAAATTTAAAACTAGTAATTTACAATTTAGAATAATTTAATTTTTTAAATGGAAACTGTTGCTTAGCTAAAAATTCGTAATCTTTTATGTTGTAACAATTTTGCATTACTTTGTAACCTAAAAATGATAAAAAATTTTTAAATCCAATAAATCTATACGATTATTTCATACTAGTAGTTAATAATTTGTTACAAATATTGTTAATGAAGATATGAAATCTAATCTAATCGAATTGTTTTATATTTTAATTACATTTAACTTGTTTCACAAAATTAGCGAATAATTTTAAATTCAATTTTCAAATTTATTAACTTTTTTTAAGTATAATTTTAATTTCATTCACTGATCTGTAAATAAAAAAAATTTAAGACATAATATAAAACAAATTTTAAAATTTAAGGCATTATTTCAAAATATAAATCCTCGAATTAAAAAAAAAAATATTTGTGTTTGTTGATAAAAAAAAAGTGCAGTTTTGTAGTAATGAAGATTTTTTTTTAAAATCTTCCCTTAAAAAAGACCTTTAAAATTCCTTTTAATCTTATTATTTTATTAAAAACTTATTTTTCTAAAAAATTTTTAATGTTTTTCCTGATATTTTCTCATTTTATCTGTATGTATGTTTTCTCGTTTAGTTTTAAGTTTTGTTTAATTGTTTATTTAGTTTTTTTGTTAATTTCATTGTAAAATTTAATTGTTTTGTTTTCTCATATTTGTAAAGAATATTACATAATATACATATAAATACATATAAAATCAAATCAAATGTATGATAGTTCAGAAGTAAGAAAAAAAAAACAAAAACAAAAAATACAAAAACGAAACCACAAAAAAAAATATTTTGCAGGAAGCCGGGAAAGCCGTGAACAGGTTGAAGCCTTGTCAGCTCCAACGAGCCCGAATGAACAAGGCTTGTCCAATCAAAATATTTCACAAATTGGAAGGAATCCTTTATTAAGAGGTTCAAAATGTAATTGGATTTTTTTTTCTTTTATTATTTTTTAATTTATTTTTTCTCAAATTAAGAAATACGATTCTCTTTTAATTTTGATTTCCTCACAAAATTTGATTTTAATTTTGAAAAATAATTTCAAATTAATATTTTCGTAAACGGCTTATATTTTACTTTAAAATATTGTAGGCTTATTAAATAATAATTTTGCTTTTAAACCACCTTTATTGTTTTTTTCTTATATTTCAAAGAACTCTGTTTTAATATTTATTTTGGGTAGTATAAAAAAATTCTTTTTATATATGTAAATAAGTACTTAAGCAAATACTTTATTAAAAAGCAATCATACGAAAGAATGAATATTTATATTTTGTAACTTAATAAACAAAATGAAGTCTTTAATGATTTTTTGTTAACGGTGTGATACACAACGAATTTTCAGTAGAATATTTACTAGAATTGCATTTATTGTAATTATAATAAAATGATTAGGATTTTCTATAATTCAAACATGCATTTAAAGTTTTAAATTAAATTTTGAAAATATTTTCACACATACTTACATGTTTACAGAAACTGAATATGTATTTTACTTTTGCAGATTTGTACCAAGCTCGAGTAATTTTTCAATATCCAAGATTGTTCTATTATGCTGTTCTTCTAATTTATAATATTTTTTCAGTTCTTATAAAAAAACTTAAAAACTCCTTTAGAACTTTAAGCACAATTTTCATTTTCAGAATATGTTTTATATCAACATACAAGTTAGAACTAAGTTATCGAAAATCTTCTGTTTCATACACAAGACATGTATGTACTTCTTTATTTCAGATTTGCTTTTTTCATTTAATATTTTTCCTCATGCATTAATACACTTTCCTTTTTTTAATTTGAATTCGATTTGTTTTCATTACCTATGATTCCAATTTATATTTTTAATTATTACCTTTCTTCAGCAAATTTTTGTTAAAAAATGAAATTCTACAAGCTAATTACAATTTCCTTTTTGCATCAAATAAAATATTTGTAATATTAATTATCGTTTTCTTAATTGAAATTTTCTTTTTTAATTTAAGAAATTCTGATTAAATTCAATCTTTAATTGAATTGAGGAAAAATAGGAAAATCTAGTGGATTTTGTAAACAAACAGAAAAAAAAAATATTTCTATTCATTCTTGGAAAACTTCCCTACATTTTTTTGCACTTATTTATTCCTAGTATGTATTTAAAATGTTTAGTATTTTATATATGTAAATTTTGATAAGTATTAGAAGTAAATTAATTTGGCTGCACTTTTATACACTGTAAGATGATTGATATAGTTAGTATTGAAGTATATATAGATCTAAGATTATTGCATGAGTGAGTACAATAAATATTATAATATAGTTTTCATGTAAAAATGTACATATTAATTATTCAGCAAAGTAAAATATTAATTAATAAAAAATATAAAAAATTTTTAAGAGCTCTTATATTAAAAATTTGTTATATATAATATTAATTATATAAAAAAAAAATAAAAAGTTAAGAGTGTGTTTCAACTTAATCATTGTTGCACTTAATGATTTATATATTCATTTGAATCAAGTTAAATCAACTTTTATAAAATTTGAATTAATAAACAACTAGCTACTACAAATTTAATTTTCCTATTTTATTCTTTGTCTTCTTAGCTAAAAATCGCTATTCAAACATTTAATAAAAAAGTTTGATTTCTTTAAAATTTTTTTATTTTATATTTACAAAATCTTAATTTATAATAATATCTCAAATTATTTCAATATTTTAATTTAATATATATGCTTAAATAAATTTAGCACAATTCTATATTTTATGCACGAAACAATTTATATGATGATTAAATTTATTCAATTTATTCGTATTTCAATTAGAATTAAATTATTTATACGAATTAAATAAATAAAAATTACTCAAATTTATATACATTATGTAATTTTGATTATCTTAAATATTTTGTAGTTTAAAGAATATTAAGCCATATAGATAATTTTAAAAGTTATAAACAAATTTATACAATTTTATTGCATGATCGCATATGAGAAATATTGAAAGTAAGAGTTTTTGATTTTTTTGTACGTTAGATATCTACTCGTTTATTAAAAAGGTTATATATTTATATAAATTGATAATAATCATATTAATAATATTTTTATTAGTTTGTTTGTTTATTTTTGTTTTAGTTGATTTATTGTTTTTAACTTATTAACTTTCATAACCTGCTAATAATTTTCTATACTAACAATTTTCTTAAAATAAATTAAATTATAATTTTTTATTATTTTTAATTTTGTTACTGTATATATATATATATATATATACCTATCCTGCCTGTAATCTATTTCAGCAGAGAAGGAAAGTGGGCGGGAAGGTCCAGTATAAATTTTTACATACATATATAAAAACAACCTCATATATCAAATAAATAGTACAAATCCCGATGATAAGCTAACTATTATTAATATTAATTATAAAATATATCCGAAATAAATAATAAATATTAAAATTTTGGAAAATAAAAAATATCTGATATTTGATGATAGTAGTTAAATTTGAAAATAAAATTTATATCGATTAATAATAATATTCAAATATTATAATAGCTTTTTAATTGAAGTTTAAATTTCTTATTTCAATTAAAAATAAATGTACTCTTTTGCCTTCTTATTAATTAGTTATTTTCCTTTGCTTTTAATTTTTTTTTTAATTTAATTTATTCTATTTTTTTTTTTAATAATAATTTTATAAAATTAATGTGAATTGCATAAAACAATAATAACAATTATTGCTTGACTTTTAATGTGCCCAAAAACTTTATAAAAAAAATTCTTATGAATTCTTGAGTTTATATGATAATACTATAAAAATATTATAGTATCATAATTTAATCTTCAAGTTGATTAAAATTATATTTTGTAAAACAGTCAGTTTTCTATAATAATTCATAAAACATGAATTAATAATGCTGTGTAAAAATTATAAATTCGCATTTTAAATTACTATGAATTTTTGTTTGGTATTTAAAGAAATCAAAAACAAAAAAAAATTTAGTTAGAATTACAGAATTTAGTTAGATCTAAATTTTAGTTAGAATTACAATCATACCCCATTTTTGTTACTATACAGCAAAAAATAGACCAGTTTAATTTGTAACTCTTGGGAAATTCTGCTACAGAATACCTTGTTTTTTTGTAATTTTTTGTTTTAGCACTCTTAGACTTCCAAACAGGCGTTGCTATTGGCAGAACTATTTTTTTAAATATCGCACTGTAGTTCTAAGTATAAGAGAACTGATTTAATAAACATGCACTTAACCATAATCATTAAATCTTAATAGCCAAGTAAATAAAAATGTCTTTTTTCCTTATTTTTTTCTTTAGTAAATATCTTACCTTAATATTTTTTAATTTTAATACATATGTAGAAGACGTTTTATAGTATTAATCATATAATTGCACAATGTAAAAAAAGTTGCTATCTTCTATTTGAGCACTGCTCTGGTATAGTATAAAGCCACGCAATCATAAGCTGATTTCTCCTAAACGGAAGAATTGGCGACACGGAATTAAAAAGAAAAATTTTTGTTTTAACAGTTCAAAAAAAACAAAATCTTTTTAAGGATATATTTTTTTTTAATGAAAACTTCCCTTTTTTTGATTTTTTCTTTTACAAATACCAAAATCAAACTCTAACATTTTTGTGCATGTACATTTATGTATTTGCAAATTCCTTAATATAGAAAAGGACAGTGAAAATTTTATTAACAAAATACAAAACATAAGAAGAAAATGAGAACCGCTCCCTCGGTGTCCTTATATTACCTGTGGCCTTATACTGCCAGTGTAGTAGCTTGAGTAAGAATATTTTTTAAACAACAATCTTTGTTAATTCATAAAAAACGTTGCTGTTGTACAAAACTTCTATACAAAATTTCTTTTTTTTACATTTTAAACTCAAAATGTTTATGATTGCATTTTAATTTTTGGCAATTAAGTATTTTTTTTTTGTTTTCCACGTTATAATTTTTTTTTTAAAAAAGTTTTTTAATTTTCTTAATTTTTTCTTAATTTTATTCTTAAATAACTTCTTGAGTAAGGCCAAGAAATAATGAATTTAACGGAATAACTGAAAATTTTTCTCAATTTTTTTTACAAAAATAGAATTATTGTCTTAAAAAAAGAAAATTTCCATTCTGTTTTGAAGATTTGTAAACTCAACTTAAATTTTAATAAATTTTAAATTTCATTTTAAAATTATGCGTCGTTTTTTTCATGTATTGCACTGTAATAAAAAAAATTCTGGCCGCATTTTTTGTGTTTTCACATTATTAATTTATGATTATACTTTTTTTGTTAGGAGTTTCTCTTCCTATGACTCATAATTATAAATCACATATAATTTTGAACATAATCTTTATTTTTCCATATTAATTAATCACATTAGAATAAAAAGTTAATAGGCTGATTTTGCACTTATTATTTTTTAAATTAGCGATATTTGACTCAAATCATATCTTCGTACAATATTTAAGAGTTTGTGTTTATTAAAAGTAAAATTATTTAAAAGAAAATATAAATGCGAAATATTGTTTTAGTAATCTGAAATTTTTAATTGTGAATTTGTGAAACTGTACAAAATTTTTTAATTACGAGTAGTAAATTTAGATGGATTGTAAGTATATTATTGGAAGTTTTTTCAATAAACTTTGAAACATTAATTACTAACATTTCAAAAAAAATTTAAATTATTAAATATTTTAATGAAATGTGTTAGAATGTAATAAAATAGATTAATGTAATAAATAACATGCTCTGTTGATTTATCAATAATTACAAAATAAGTATTCGCAATACTTACAATTTTTTGCCAACATTTATGAGCGTTTGATACGAACTTCGATATTGATTTGCTAATTATTTACAATAATAAATTTATAAAAGTTACATATTTTTCGGAACTATGTAGAGTTCTGAAATCGTCAATCAAAATGAATCAGCAATAACTTCTTAACCTTGCAAACTTATTGTTTGTATTATAATAACAATTCAGAATGAATATGTGCATTTAAATGATATCATAGTTGATAGTGTTAATTTTTATCAATTAACAAAATTATAAAGAATTTTTATTCTAACAAACAGTTTTAATTTCAAATAAGAAAGTAAAATTGTGTTCTAACCAGAATGGTTTTGGTTTTTAGGAATATATACAAAAGTATATATATATAATTATATATATAATTATAATTATAGTTTTTGTTAATACTTAAACATTTTTATTTGTTTTTTAATAATTTGTTTTTACACTTTTAGTTTCCTTTTTTTTTTTCTCTTCAACGTTTCATTTCTAATTTTTTGATTTACATATACTAGAAATGCATCATTTAAAGAAAAGTAAAAATATTTTTATAATTGAAGAAAAGTAATAAATTAAAAATGATATTTTTTTTAATTGAAAAAAAATTGCTGTATAACATTTTGATTTAGAATTTATTTTTTTCTTAATACAGATAATTTAGTTTCAGGAATTTTACGTAGCCGAAGAGATAAAGCTAAAACAAAAAAATCCAAGAAAAAGAAAGACACTGAAACATCGAGTAACAAAGATGAGAATATAATAATGTAAGTAATTATGCAAAGTTACAAGTATTATTTTAAAAATCAATATTCGAAATAAAATTATCTTGAAACATTGATACGATGTTTATATTATTTTGAATATCAATGATTGTAAAGAGAAAATTGAAAATATTTCGAAAATATTAATAAAATTGGAAAAAAGTTTTTATAATTTTATGTTTTAAGCACTAATCTCGTTTAGAATAATGAAACTAAAATATAGTAACAAAAGCGGTGTTTCAAGAATAAAATTAGATTAAAATAAATATGTGTCTGAGTTAAATTATAAAAATAACAAAATGTAATATAATAATAAATGTTTGTATAATAATAATTGCTTAACGATAAATTTTCTCTTTTATTTTTTTAATTAATATTTTTTTGTAAATGCACTTAGAGATGAGAAATCTGATCAAAAGAATAATGAAAATAGTCCTGTACAAACTCCGGCTACAACAACAGCAAATGTGAATTTTACAAATTCAAATACTGCAACAAGTGGAATAGCTCCTACAGCAACTCCCGAAGTCGATGAAGATGGATACAGTATTAAACCTAGAAATAAAGAAACCAGCTGGAATGATGAAAGAGAGAAGGGTAATTATAATAATAATATAAATTAATTGAAAAAAAAAAATTTATAATTCATAATCTATTTTTTAGGTAACTTTTACTCAAGTTCAGATTCTGATTCTGATAATGACAAACCTGAACGAAAAATTCATGTCGAAATCAAACCATTAAATAATGGTACAGCACCAATATCAGCTAGCGTTGATGAATTAAGAGCTACTGTTGGAAATATTTCCTTATCACCGATTGGAGTTCTTTCGGTAAGAAATCAATCACATATACAAATTTCAAACAGTAATCTTATTCAGAATTATGTTTTTGGATCAGACTTTTCATCTATGAAACAAAACACTTTCATTAAAAATATTTTAAATGTTGTTGTTGTTTTTTATTGTAAATTGAAATCATTTATGGTATTTTTGTTTTATATTGAAATAGAAGTAATATGTTTATTTTATTCCCATCTAATTTCTGTAATTGAAAGAATTTATAATTTGATTATAATAATTATTTTACACTTTATATGCGTTCAAAAAGGATTCTGTAAGATTTTGTCAAAATATTTAAAACGTTTCAGTTGTTTATTTTCAACATTAAACAAAAAACATTTGAGTAATGTTAATTATTCTACATAATGCTTTCATAGCTTTAAGCTTTGCAAATAATTTCAAAATCTTGGAAGTAACACAAAGAAAATAATGTATAGCACTGAAATTTAGAGTGCTCTATTCCTGATAATATTATTCTAATTGACAGTGAATATATTTTTAAAATATTGTACACCAAAGATATTTTTATTCATTTTAATAATTTTTGGGGTCTAAGACAATACAATATTTCTGGTTACTTCAGATTCAACTGCCTCAATACAATTAAATCTAAATATAGCGTTGAATTGCTTTTAGTACCTTTGATTTTAGAATTGAACATTAAAATACTTCATCGTATTTAAGTAAAACTATATTAGTTTAATAGATACATGCTTTGAGCTTAATTTATGTTTGTTGAAATTTTAATCTTTTTCCAAACTTTTTGGTTTTTTAAATATTATGAAAAACCTTAAAATTGGGTTTGTGTTAAATTTTTAAATATTTTTGTTTTAATTAGTTATTTTTTTCTAATAGAAAAAGGAAATTGTATCGTTATCTTAATTTTAAAAACTATTAAAAAAATTTATACAAAAAATTATAAAATTCTCAACTTCTAAAGTTGTTGGTGATCATCGTAGTAGATTTTTGTATTTAATATAAAACATATTTTTCTTTATAACATTTCTGCTATTTTTTTAATATATTTAGTTAAAATTTAATATTTATTTATAACTTATTTTTATGTAACTCAACAAAATTATTTTACTATAAAAATGGCTTTACGTTTACTATCGCTATGTGTTGTTGTTTGGCTCTTTTATTTATACATACATACATACATACACTACCAAAATAAAATCATATATTATGTATTTCTACCGCTACATATCATTTAAATGCATGCTATTATGTAAAAAAATCATATATAACAAAACGAAAAAATTATATGTATATAAAAGAATCGTGGTGGTTCAACTTCTGACAACCACGAAATGAAACGATCACAATCTGTTTCACAAAAATTGGGTGAAAAACCGAGCATTGATTTACTCGGTCTAACTTTATTTCATCAACAGCATAGTCAACATTTACAATCAACCCATTCAAATAATTCATATCAACAGCAAAGTCCTGGTGCATCAAATGCATCAACACCGACAACTGTACATCCTTACGCACCTTTACAAAGTCCAACTTTATCAGTATCCAATAACTCCAGGTGAATTCAATATAAATTTAGTAGTATTTTCATATACAGGATTAAAAAATTTTATTTTATTATGTTAGATATGCTGACTTAGGTGACATATTTTCAACTGAAATAGGAGAAATAAGTGCGTCAGCACCAGCTTCGGCTACTTTATCAAAAGCAAGCAGTAGGCAAATACCAACCCCGACATCTGCAAGCAGTATAGCAATTCCTAGACCACCTTCACGAAGGTCTGAAGCGGCTATTCGTGGCCGTGTTAGCCCTTCTTCAATGTCACGAGCTGACAGTGTTGGTAGCATGGAATTTCGTACTGCTGTTGGTATTGGATCATCGCGTGGTCCATCGCCACTAACAATTGGAATGACTGATACAATACCTTTGGCTGTTGCCTTTCACGAAATAATTCATGCTTACTTTAGGTTTGAGAGTCAATTCCTTAAGTTTTTTTATTTATTAAATTCGATTATTTAACTTATTTTTAATTATTGTAGAGGTAGTGATGAATCTCGATGTCAAGTTAAAATGTCTGGTGATATGATGTTATCATTTCCAGCGGGAATTGTTAGTATACTAGCAAACAATCCGAATCCAGCCAAATTAGGTTTTCGAATTAAACATACACAAAATCTTGAAAATTTAATTCCAAATAAGCAATTAGTTCAAATGTAAGTACAGTTTATAAAAAAAAAAGTTATTTTTATTATGATCGTTTTTTGTATTATTTTTTCTAGAGATAAATTGCAATCGACTAGTTTTAGTACAATGTTAGAATTTGATATGAATGCGTTAACAGCATTATTGAGACGCCAATCTGAACAAAATCCGAATGCATCATATTTTAATGTTGATATATTAAAATATATGATTAAATCTAAGTTAGGTGCATCTTCATGTCCATTTCAATTAGTTAGTTATTGGAAATGTGAACCGACTCACACAGCATTAAAAATTGATTACAAATATAATAGCCATGCTATGGCATCTCCATCATCATTATTAAACTTAATTATATCAGTGCCGGTTGATGGTGATGTTAAAAATGTCCAATCAAAACCTCATTCAGTTTGGTGTGTACCTTTTTAAAAAAAAAACTTTTCTGCTGTGTTTGCTTTCTTTTAATTAATTGTTTTTTTTTTTATTTTTTAAGGCTTGGAGAATCCAATCGTTTAGTTTGGAATTTCACAGATATTTCTCAACATTCTGAAGGCAACGGTATTGGAACGTTAAGAGCAAGATTAGAAGTTCGTAATGGTCCTTCAACTCCTTCAACTTTGACTGTGCAATTTAATTGTGAAGGAACAACTTTATCTGGTATCGAATTCGAATTGGTAGGAACTGGTTACAGGTTATCATTAGTTAAAAGAAGATTTGTGGCTGGTAAGTTTTACTTTATTTTGAGAATTATGTATTATTATGGGACCTAAATTAAATAAAATAAAAACTTTTTAGGTAAATATATATGTGAAGGGGATGGTATTAGAAATATCACAACACCTACTCCACCGACGTCTGTTGGAAGTCCGTATTCAGCAAAATCGAATTAAAAATACAACATAGTGAAATATAATTAACATATGTATGTAAATGTTCATATTAATATTATTTAAAACAAACTTAGTTTTTAAAATTAATAATAAAAATGTTTTTGTATATTATTGTAAAATTTTCGAAAAGGAAAAAACCAATAGAAATACTAATTTTTTTAAATACATACTAGGAAAGGAAAAGCTACAAATCATAAAAACAATAAATATTAAAATAAAAACTAGAAAATGAATCACTAACTTTTGAAACTTAAAAAAAATTTATTACTTCTTTCAAGAACAAATAATACTACTATTATCTGTTATACTATTATAAAAAAAAATAAATAAAAATTATATACTATGTGTATTATCAGAACGAAAAACGAAAAAAAAATATACTATTTTACTATTTTTACTCAAATAGAAAAAATATTTTAGGAGCATGAACTATAAAAAAAAGAAGATAAATATCCATTTTTGCAAACATTATTAAATTTTAATTTGATTTATTTAAAAGCAAAAATAAGAAACGCTTTTTTATGATATGTTATGTTAAGTAAATATTGTATTGTATGCATAGGCATTATCTTTGATATATTTATTTATACGCTAACTTTTCATTAAGTTCTGCTTATTCTATTTCTTCTAATTTACGAATATCGCACTAGTTAATTTAGTTTTTGCCAACGAAAAATTTTATGTAGTAGACAAATCAACTTTTTAACCAAACTTTTAAATTTCAATTTCTGTTGTTCTTCATTAAATGATTTTTTTTATTTCTTTTTATCCAAAGTAAATTTTTATTTACATTCAGAACTAAAGTTTTTAAGTAGTAACGTAAGTTTTAATTTCATTACATCAGACGAGACAATATAAAATAAAATAAAATAAATATTCAACTACGTAATATTTTATATTTTCTTTGTCAGAATTGCCAAAAAAATTTAATTTCAAATAACTGGGTGTGAAGAAAATTGGTACGAAAAAAAAATATTTTAGTATTTATTAAAAACCAGAAGTGTTTTGAAGAAATAGAATATTGATGGGATGATAAAATATTTTGTGGAATCAAATAAAAAATAATGTATGTATTATATTTGTGAATACATTAGTATAATATTGAAAATATTTTTGAAGACATAACATGATAACTGCAATATTTTTGTTCTTTATTTTTTACAATTAATCGTTATTATTAGAATAATTAGATTTTCAAATCATAGTATGTTTTTCCAGACAGAAAATTTATCAAGCTTTTTATGGGCAGTTTTCCCGCTTTACCTATCTTTTACAATTATCTGAATTGTAATTGAATTCAGTTAGATAATAGATTTGGTTACGGAAAATTCAAATATTGTAATATCCTTATTTTCTTTTAGGTAGTTTTGATATTGAATTTTAAAATTTATAGTTACTCGTCATTATTTTTTTTTTTTTACTTTTTTTATGATAAACTGGGTCATATATTGCGGTCTAAAAAAATAATGTTGTTAGAAAATGTAGGTAGAAAAAAATAAATTAAGGTTGAAACATTATAATGTTGAATGTTTTGAAATTGAAAATGACGTACAATTTTATTTAAAGCCAAATAAAATAAAAACTTTCATAATAAATTAAAACAAATGGCAAGTTATTATGTTATGTAAATAGATATTTATAATCAATATAGAAGTGGATATCTTAAAAACTTTTGTATTCATATTTTATGTTTACCCGTGTATGAATTATGTGCATAAATTTAAAGTTACATTTATTTAATTTCATTGCAATCTTTATTCTAGCTTTAATTTAAAAAATTAAACAGAAATTTACATAAATACACAATTATTTATAATATATATATTTATATTTTGTTCTAGGTATAAATATTTTTTACTTTTTTTTTTTAATTTTACCATAACATTGTTGCAATCTAAAAATGTTTAATTTAATTCTGGATTTATATTGGGGTCGTAGATTTAACTTCTATGTGATATATGTATGCACAGGGAAAAAAAATTTAATACTTGATTAATACTTTTAAAACCCATAGCTATATTGAACAAATGTTTTTGGTGAAAACTAACGCTTAAGAATACGTAAGTAATAATACTGACAGAATTTGGTTATATCCTAATTTTAAAATTAATTGTGAAAAATTTAATGAATATTAAAAAATTTCGTAAAATTTTAATAGCACATAAAGCAATTTTAAATGCGTATAAGAAAAATTATATTTTGAACCTTGTTATCAGAAGACACTATAATATGTTAAACTATTAACTATAATATTATATAGTTAGTAGTAATATATTAGACACTATAATATATTATTTACTCAATATAAATACTCCAACAAATTCAAGTCAATTATTTAAATATTTTAATTTATTTTAATTTTATTAAAAATAAAATTTTAGTTCTACTTATTTTAATAAATTACACTGGACGGCTTTGAATTAACTTTAGTAAACCCCAATTTTTATATTAATTCATTAATTATTAATATTTTTTAGAATCAACATTGAGATGGTAAAAATATGTAAGACCATTGACCATTCATGAATCAAAAACATTTTAAGTGTTGTTTTTTAAAAATGAAAAATCATTTTCGGATGATGGAAATAAGATTTTTTATTCTTAATCTATATTTATAAAAAAATTAATGATTAGTAAAACTTAATTTTATTATATTAATTAATAAATTAAAACAATATATTCAGTGCAATCATCTTTGTATTTTTCATTACAATGAATAAAGGTCAATGCATCAATAATAATCCGGAATACTTGAAATTCTGAAATTTCGCAAAAATTATATTATTTTTCTAATTAAGAAATATAACATGAAATGTTTTGCTAATTATAATGTGCCTCAATTTAATCCCTTATTACTTGAATATTTGTTTAATGATTTACTTTATGTTTATAATATTATGTCAAATAGTTTAGATTTTTTTAAGTTTTCTCATCTTCAAATCAATTTTTTAAGGTTTGATTTGTGTATAAACTAATCAAACTAATACATAATAATTAAATTAATTATGCATAATATATTTTCCAAATGTATCATATTCAAATTTGCCAAGTATTTATTTAAAAAATTTATAAAAATTTAAAAAAATATTTTGAAAAAATTTTGGTTGAAGAAAATAATCTGATTTCATTATATGAAAGAAATTTGAAGAGTCAGAGCTACATAAGTTAACAAAATACAGAAAAAATATTTACTTAGGCTTGAATTTTTGTATTTTCTGGTTTTTTAAAGCATTTAAGAATATTTCAATTTCATTTAGGCTTCATTATAAGCTATTATAAATTAAATATAACAACGTCGACATTATCGTATTCTACATGAGTGTAATTTAAAATTCTAACTTGTATTTAAAATTGAATTAGAACGAAACGAAAATGTTATTTTATTTTATTTTTTTAAATAAACAAAAAATATTAATAAAATATACTGCTTATGTACCTTGAATTGAACATGTTAATATTAAAAATAAACTTATAACGTGAACTGAAATGATTTTTTTAAATTGAATTTTTATTTGATAATAACAAAAGAAATTCTAATTAATGTTTTCTTAGATCAATTAAAATTAGTCAGAATTTTTTTTTTTATGAAAAATCAAAATATAATTGAGACTATGTAATGATTTAGCTGAAGTGAATTTTATACAGAAATGTGAGATAAGTTTAAGAAACTTAAAAAAAAACAATGCTAACAAAACAAATTGATTATTACAATTTTTAGTATATGTATATGTAAGAATGTTTTGACAAGAACTTATTACTTATTTTTACTTCCCAATTATTTCTGTAATAGTAATAAAAAGTGGAATTAAATTATTTAAAAAATTTACAAATACAACTGAATGAAATTTATCTTTTAAAAATTACAATAATTTTTAAGATTTTTTTGTTAAAACATTCTAATAAACATTATTTTATGGGATATAATTGTTTTTAAAGTTAACATTGTGATTAAAACAAAATTTTAGAACATTTTAACGAATTTGAATTTATATTTTTATGTATATTATGTTGTTCGTTAGAATTTTGTAAAAAAAAAAAATGAAAAAAAAAATATTACAAAAAAATTATTTTCATTCGCTTTTAAAAATTTTTAATTCGAATATTTGTCTTTTTTTTTTATATGATTTTGAATATTGCTTCTAATAAAATATTTAAAAGTAAACAAAATATAAAAGAGTCGTAATGTTTTTTTTCTTTTACTTTTCATGAACTAATTATTGTTTTTAAAAAGTTGTTAACATTGTCAATTTTGTCTACGTTGCAAATATAACGAAATATACACAAATTTACAAAACTAATAAAAAAGCTTGTTGTTTTATATTTCATTATTTTTTTTATTTTAATTGTTTTTCAGATTCAATAGGTTTTTTTCATTTATTTTCTTATATAAATTCATACAACTAGTGTAATTTTTGTTTCCGACAATTCGTGGACAGTGTCAATTTGTTTTATTTAAAAATATTTTAAAAAGCTTTTGTGTAGTTTTTTGTAGCATTTTATAAAAAAGCGATGTTGCTACAAAATTTATACTATGGATACACCGAAAGTCTTATGACTTATGAGTATCCTTCAAAAATTTTCTTTGATGGACGTAATAGTTTGATAAGTATGATACATTAGTACAATACATTAATACTGTTTAGGAATAGAGGAATCTTTTTCTGAAGATAACCAGTGCTCCAGTTCTTGTTTCCATCCGCAAGATAGGATCTTTTTTCGTTCAAGTCCTTTCAGTGAATTTCAGTATTAATAAAATACAGAGTTGTGACACCCCTGAAGTGACGGAGAGTCAGTCCTTATATACCGAAATAAGGCAATTTTTCTATAAGAGCCATTGCATATAAACTACATGTATCACATTGCATAAATTTTCTTGAGAGCTTACTTTTTCGTAAACACCTTCTGGTTTGAAGAAATTAATAAGCAAACATTATACTCACCTATCAATACGTTGTAAAGTTATTAAAGTTTTTTTAGGATAATTTTTATTTTAAATAGCCTTGCAATTGAGAAAAATTACTGTTTGTAAATAGCTTATTGGCAATGTTTTCGTTCTTTTATGAAGAAATATCATGGTCAGGTGCGAAAAATATTTTTAATTTTCGATTAAATTTGTATTTTATTTCGTAATATTCTATACTAATTTCATTCGTATAGCATTTTAGACTTGATAGAGTATAGAAATCATTTATAAAAATTAAAGTTTCTTATTCTGTTACGTAGCCCATAATAATCATTAACCTGTTTTCGTTATAATTTTTGACCAAAAAATAAGTGAATTTAATTAGTTTTAGTTT